CACATGTAACACTTTTTGAAAGAAATGTAATGTTTGGTCTGCAGATCCTTCTGATAGGGGCAGAGGAAGGGTTGTTTGCCCATGAGCTCCTGAGCAAGCCCCAGGCTACCAGTATCACCAGGATGGCAGGCATGAACCTCCCTGTCTACCAGATCAAGATACTCAAGGAGATGGGCATGGTGCTCATGATCAGAGGTCAGTAGTGGTCACCAGGGGGTCAGTTAGTGTGTGTGATAGGACTGGGCAGGGGTCGGCAGTGGAAGACTACATTAAAATATAACTGATCTTGTTTTATGTTATGTAGCAATATAGTATTTTTCATACATTGTGATTGTATTGACAGGTTGAATAATCTACTTTCAAATTGATGAATAAGAATTGAAGATTTCTTTTTATTGACAGTTAGCATAGAATATGAAATGATTGGTATCTTTTGCTCCCCTTGCCTTCTTACCAGTTTTCTCTTACCCATCTCTTATGCTCCCAAATAGGAAAAGACCGCCATATCGCCACAGTAGAATTCAAGATCATGAAAGCCAAGGTCCACGAGGCCCTGGTGTCCAAGTCCTCTGTGGTCAACCTGACCTGTGTCCAGAATGTCCTTGGCTGTACAGTGCTGGACTGTGCCATGACAGGGGATGGAGGGTGCATTGTGGCAGCCATGCCCACCAAAGTGGCCTTACTCAAGTACAACACAAGTCTTAGGGAGTTCTGCCTAAGAGGGGTAAGAGACATTGAGCATTTTTCATTTCAGTGATAAATATTCCAAAGATTTGAATGCTCCTTTTGAATAAAAGTGAGCTTACTGGATTTGTATGAAATGTTCAGAAACTGAAGTTCTGGATAGTTTTCTTTGTTAAAAGCATTTTCTTTTTCTGTCTCTGTATAGTTTTTTAATTGCTTTCCTTGCTTATAGCAATTATGTCCCTTATCTTAATGTTTTGCACTCCTAACATGGAGTGCTTAAACATAATGCAATTTTTGTTAATATTAAGAATTTGTTGCAGGAATTCTCTACGGCAGACCCTTGCAGCTGTATATGTGTGACCTCCAGCTTTGCAATCATTGGAACAGACAAGTTCTACAAACTCTCTTTTGACAACAACAAAATCACAGGTAACTTTTGAAAATGGGGCCGATTGATTATAAGGATTTGTTATCTGGCCTGATGGAAATCGGTGAATAATGAGGGAGAATTCATTTTTATCAAGTTCTCTTTGAAGCACAGCTTTTATGATAGCTTTCTTTGCAGGGTGTTATCTTCACATTAATAATTTCATTTGTTTAATAAGTAATCAAGCAGAGAAATTTTTGAATTTCTGTTAACCATTTTTCAATTATTCAAAAATCTTTCCAGAATATTTAGACAAGACAGATAGATCTCTGGCATTTGCAGCCTATGGTGCTGCCAGCTATGACAGCTTCCCAATCTCTGTCCTCAAGGTGAAGCCAGGGGAGTTCCTGCTCTGCTGGAATGGTAAGAGTGGGCGGGGCACGTTAGGGAGCTATTCTGACAATTAACTGATATGTTGTCCTGAGTGAACATAATGCTAATCAAATTACTATATTTAGTTAGGCACTTCATGGAGGAATATTGTTCATGATTAACTGTCACTTTGTTGTTTAACACACAACGTATCAAGTATTTTAGTTCAAGATGTTTGTTGTTATAGATAAGATGCAATATAAACTGTGCTATTGCTTGGATAATAGACGTAGCTTCTTTGGTGACAGTGGTGACAGTGGTATTTTGTGTTTCAGAGTTTGGCATCTTTGTTGATTCTAATGGCAGAAGAAGCAGATCTGAAGACTTGAAGTGGAATGGATTGCCCTTGGCATTTGGTAAGGCACTGGTGGTTGTGTCAGAACTGATGTTATCCCTTTGTTTGCCAATAACAGTAATATGAATGAGGTCCACACTTTGTATTCTATGTTTATAAAATCTGTTTGAGGTGGAGGTACGTCTTCATTAATTAAAAACATTTCATATGACTTATTTCAGCATTCCGAGAACCATACCTGTTTGTGACTCATTTCAACTCCTTGCAACTTTTGGAAATCAAAGAACATGGGTAAGATTACTGTCATGAACCTTATTCCTGTTCTGTATTGCATTCAAAAGCTGGAATGCTGGTATCCAAAGTAAGAGAATAAATCAGCTTAGTAAGGAAGACTTGGCATATAGTAGTTTTTTTTTTCATGTTGCTTTTGAAAATCCGATTCATAGTTGATTTTATTGGAGAATATCTGATTGTGTCTGTTGTGTTCTCTAGGAGCGGAGGCCAGGCCACTCTGGATCTGCCCAGTCCTAGAATGCTGGGTCCAGCAGTCAGCCCTGGTGCCGTGTACATAGGCTCTGTGTCCCCCACCACTGTGGAGATCTACTGCTTCAAGGGGAACCTGCAGGCCTGCAGCCAGATAGACTCCTCAGACTACTCAGACACTGAGTCCAAGGAGAACTACAATGTGAACACTCCTGCAAGTGTCAGGTCTACTAGGATCAGCAACAAAAGAGAAATGTGAGACATGGTTTGGTTTATTTGTTTTCTTTGAAAAAGTGATGTACGAGTTTATGGATGTGTTTATCCTAACCACTTTAAATATGCAATTATTTGTGTCAAAAAGTTTTCATATCTGGTGAAAAATTATTTTTGATGTGTCAGTCACCACCCTGCTCTTATATTTGGATTTTCTTTTGAATGAACTTAAATTCCATAACTAATTTCACAAAATTATTGAAAAAATTCCAGAATGCAAAATACTCCTAGCCAGCGCTTCAAGAGCCCATACCCAACATCTTCATCAAGAAGACCAACTCGCAGATCACCGAGATTTTCTCCGTCAGATGACGACACATTTGATGGTGCCAGTACAATAGACTTGGACTCGGACACAGCCAGTCTGTCCAGCTACACAGAGACCACCGTCAAATATAAGTTTGCTGCAAGTCCCAAAGTGAAGAGGGCCAAGTATGGGAAAGTGGTGCACACAGACTTGTAGATGATTGGTGTTGGTGACCTGAGCCGACATACTGTTACATTTGAATTTCAAATATAGACTAGAAGACATAGAAACACCCAACATTAGAGTAACTGATAAAATATATATAGACCACTTTTGTACTCTGTTTATGTTATCATATTAGCACCTCTGAGGGTAACTTACGGTCATTTGAGTACAGTTATACGGAAAAGTGTCCATTGTAGTATGTTATTGCAATAATTCATGCTTGCATTAAGTTTTAGAGGAAGGTTACCTTAAGTTTCAGACTGTTGTAAAATAGACAGATTGGATGATAGTAATATATTTATGTAAACTCTGTGGTATTGTATATAAGCAGCATAGAAAAGCATGAACCTTAGAAGTACGAGTGTGAACCAGGATTATATCAGTGAATCAAGCAAGTGAAGAGAGTAGCTGTGAAGAGCAAATGTATTACAATCAAGGATAACAGTAAAATTTGCCAATATGTGTATTGTTATTATATCCATATTTTGTAAAATAAAGAACTGTTCAGAATATGATTGGTTTTTTATTAACTGAAGAATGGAAACATGACAAAGGCAAATTATTAACTTAAAATCTGCAGCAAAAGATTTGCTTGTTCATCTTGAAATGACATATCTTTGTCAACGTGATAAAATTACATAGCATTTAAAAGAAAATAGCTGATAACACTTCAAAGAAAGATGATAATGGCATATTACCATATTATTATTACAATTATTTATGTTACTGCAAAACAAAGTTTTTTTGTTAAAGTACATTGGTTTTGTATGGAATTAACACAGATTCCTGCTTTTGTGAACAGAAAGTCAAGACACAATTTGTACCATGCAGGACACTTCATTTCCTTTTCTTTGCTTCCAGAGTTCTGATCATTGAACAGTATTCTTTGTCAGCTCCTTGTGACAGAAACGCCTGGAGTCTTCATCAGCATTACTTCTTAGTTCCTTCATCTAGTGCTGTTTTTCCATCAAAAGCCTGCTTCCCACCAAGCAGACGACACTGGTGTTATTTCAGCATTGTGTCATCAAGGTCATCTACTGGCTCAGACTGAGTGGCAACTTTTCTTAGTGATTTATTGATCACCTCAGTCAGTGAATCTTTCATTCCAGCATCCAAGGCAGCTAATACAGCCTGAAAATACACAATTTGGAAATTTCACTTCAATTATAGTATACAAAGAACATCACTTTTTGACTCACAAGTAACATTTTCGTTTCTGAAAAGAGCCTGAGAATTTGCCAATGTGAATAGGGAAGTTTAAATACTGGAAATGTTATTCAAATGTAATTCAAATTCAAGATTAAAATCTTTGTAGATACATGTCCAATTACAATCCAGATGAAACAACAACTTCATGATTTCTATTTTCATTAAAAGCATATCATAATACTTGTCCAAGAAGTTTTTATCCATTTGGTGTTTCTATTAATCTCCAAACACAAAAATTCATCTTTCAACACAAATTTTAAGTATATTTTCACTTTACCTTTGGAGCAGTGGAGTATCTGAACTGACTAAATAAACTATTTTTCACTTTATTATTATTATTACTACTAGAGTTATCATTATAATACTAAAGCCAGCAGTCTCACCCTGACTACATCTTCCCCTTGCCTCATCCACAGTAGACTGACCAGTGTATATTCACAGTCTGCCCTGACCCCTGTGTTCTTCTCCTTTGTCCCCATCACCACCACTGGCACCCACACCTTCAGCTGGCTCATGTCAAATGGTGTGCCTCGACACTTGGACAAATGGCGGAGGATTTGTGCTGTCAGCTGCTTCACATCGTTGGACTCGTGCTTCATGCCCTGTTGGAAAAAGCTTAATGCTATATTGTGTTCTCAAGCAGTTATCATAACATGTTTTCATATAAAGTTACGTTTCAAAATGGGATTATATGATGTATAAATCTTTTAAAGGACATCGAGCACTTCATATTATGGTGCCAAATTGGGGAAATATAACAGGTAATTTCTTAATACCAGTCTACTACAGGGATTTGAATATTTGATGTAGCATGTTAAAAATGGGGAGGGAGGGGGGAACTTCAATAAATAAACCTCACTTTTAAAACCGCAGCTACTAATTCCTCATTGAGGGGCTCTCCTGACTTTATCTGGTGTTCCAGATAATACCCAGCTGCACGCAGGCCACTCAATGTAATGGGGATCTGAAAGTTGACAAAAATGCCTTTGATGAATTTTTTACTGAAACTCAATTCAATTTTCTGTATTTTTAATGAGTCATCTGGTTAATAAAGATGTAAAAAACATTAAAATATATACTGATACAAGCATTATCTGTTCACTTAACTAAATTTCAGTCTACTTTTTACCTATCACCTACCCTGTCAGCACCAATGTTCTTCAGAATAATAGGCACCACGCTAGTGTCCTGCTTCACTCTGTCTGCTGCCTCCTTCACTGCTATAGACAGTGCCACACTGCGGCCATGACGGACCAACCAATCAAGGCCAGACTCAGCATCTAAAATATAATACCATTACTTTGTAGAAAAAGGCTGTAATATCTACTTTTTTGTTTATTGCATTTCGTTTTAATTTCATGGACAAGAAAAAAAAACAGTTCTGTCCTATCATTAGTTTATTTCAAAGGATTGTAAAAACCCACCATTGATTACATTATTTTCATAATCATCTTGTGAAGAAACATGACCAAAATGAAAGTCCTGAGAAGATCAATGTTAAAGTTACTGGCAGTTAAAATCAACATGGGCATTGGGAGAATAATAATATTAATGACATAAATATATTCTACAATTTGTCATGCTCACCAAGCAGATGTTGGTCCAGCACTCCCTTCAGCTCTTCATCGTCCAGGCATCCACACAGTGCCCCAAGACAGCCCGCAGCAGACATCCTGGTGCTGTCCTCTGGTGACGTGATGGAGTTCAGGAGGGTCACCAGGATCTGCTTCTTGTTGGCTTCATTCATCTTTTTACCAGCTCCTGCTATACAGCCTCTAAGTGCCTGCATCATGGTGTCTCTAGATACCAAATGAATGAGAAATAATACAAAATAAGGATTTGATCTTTTATGGATACACCAACAGTATAACTAAAATGATCCAAACATACTAGGTATTTTGATACATAAAAACAACAATCTTCAACAAATCTCCTCAACGATAAACACATACAGTGCATTTGTAAAACTGGTTGTAATGCTTTTCCATATTTTTGGAAGGGGGGAGGTTAAAGGGGAGAGTATTCATTTTGTTATGACCCACGGCAATGATGACCAAGTTGTTACCTGATTCCAGTTTCTGCAGCATTTTTAATTCCTGTGTGTAGGTCAGTAAACAGTGGGTCCACCTTCACATGGATGACAATCATCTTGCTGAGAGCTGCTGCAGCGCGCAGACGGACATTCCTGTTGGGGTCCTGCAGAGCCTTAACAAATGTGGTTTGTAGCTGGGGCAGGAATGGTTTGAGCATTGGACCACACTGAAAGTACAGTTGGTATCAGTTAAATCTTTAAATCTTCAACCAAAGTTATGTTCCTTTTTACAGAACATCAAGCATAAAAATATTTTTTCATTTCCTTGCAAAAAAATATACATAAGCACATTGCACTGCATCTATACTAAGCAACTGTTCATTATAATTCTACTTCTTTCATAACATAATACAAAGTACATTTTTCTGCACAAATCACCTTGCCCAGCAACAGTCCCAAAGTGTCTAACACAGCCACTTTGATGTTCCAGGCAAACCTGTCACCCAAAATTCTAATCAGGGGTCCAGTGATGTTGACCACAGATGGCTTGAGGGCCTCTGCACTGGTCCTCTGAATGACCTCTCCAAGACCCACTGCCGCCTGCTCCTTCAGCTCCATGGGGCCGTTTAGGATACCTTCTCGGAAAATGGGCAAAACTGGAGTGATTCCCTGAAGTTGTAGATTTAACATCATTGTAGAAATGGCTGTATTTTAATTAACATTGTCAACCTTATGAGATTTTTTTTTTATCTGAAATTGGAATATCATTTAATCTGCCCATTTCTCTATGGTTCAAATAAAGTACACAGAGGAAAATCATCATGATAGTTCTTAGATGATCAAGATAAGAAATTTCAAGTTTTGGCATTAAGATTGTCTTCAAAAATAGTCATTTCTGATAGGAAAAAAAGGTATCAAAATACAGTTAGACACAGTGACAATTTTTGTGAGGAGGTATTTTACTATTAGCCTACATATCTGTATATCTGTAAAACCCATCTGTAAAAATATACCTTCTTCAGTAGGCAGAATCCAGGTAGCTCCTCCTGTTTGTTGTCAGCTACAGCATACTTCACCGCCTGTCTTACATTACCTATGTGCTGCAGGCACTCAGTGGGATCCAATTTCTGAAATAAATCACCCACGTATATGAAATATTGGTAAAGAAGACATACTGACAAACACAACTAATTCTAGGAGATATATATGATATAATTCAATGCTCATACAATTTGGGACTTTTTGTCAAAAATAAAGAAATTAATGAACTATTGGTAAAGGAATTCAATACACAAAGTGTAATAAAAATAGAGAAACACCAACCTTAGTGACTGAATTCAAGCACGCCCAGGCAGCATTCAGAACTTTTTCATCAGTATTGGTAAACAGTCCAATGACTCCTCTCAACAACTGTGGCACATATTCAGAATAGTCTGCCTTAGTTTTACTACAGAAAGCCTCCAGGATGGTGACAGCAGCACAGCGTATCCCTGGCTCCGAGTTGCCAAAGGCCTGGATCAGTTCATCTAACGTGATCCTGACGCCATTGTCATCTGTCACAGACAGCACCACTACCTGGCAATACTCCAGCTCCTGGAAGATAAGAAAATATATATCTAGAGATGAAAGGATTCTTTTTGTCAATTTTATTAATCCACCACTCCCATTATAACATATTTAACAATGCTTTGCAAAACTCCTCTGTCATCCTTGTCTTGATAATAACAAAAGTTACCTTATTAACATTTGACGAATGTGATGCTGACTTGCCAAATGAAAGCTAAGTAACTGAATGTAACCAAAATTAAAGTAATGAAATTTACTTCACTAGATTAGATGCCATTTGCACTGCACTGTCATTGGCAGAATCACCCAAGCAAAGTACAAAAACTTTGAACTGTTTACCTGTTGTTCCTCCTCTGTACCCAGCTTAGAGCTAAGTGAAGATAACAAAGCCGGGAGGATCTTGTGCAGGTGCTTTACCAGGGCTTCTCCAGCCACAGAAGACAGGAAAGACAGAGCGCGGGTGTTCACTGGAGAACTGGTCAACTGAATACACAAGACATAATATCACAGTTGAAATATCCAGGTAAAACCAGTGCCCTTGCACAGTCTAATTTTAATTAAAAGTACAATAAGGAGGGCATAACATACTAGAACAGCAGCAATTCTAATGTTTGAGTGTACTAATAACACATTTTCAGAACCCAGCAAAGACAAGCAACAAATGTCTGAGAAGGACATCAATTTCTCTAGTTGTCTGAATTAACAGTATACATGAAAACTATTTGCTGAAACCGACTTCTTTTCTGGCCTTACAAATAACAGTTATGCCCATATTGTTTTTTCACTGACACATATGAACTCATGTAAACATTTTAACATTGGTTAATTTGAAATGAAGGACTGTGTTAAATAACTGACCTGAGGCACTAAGTACGGTAAAACCACCCTGCTCTTCACGGCCATAACCTGTGTCAGACCATCCAAAGCATACTCTGATAACATCTCATCATCCTAGAAACAGTAAAATGACATGGTGACTACATTCTGAGATTGAAGAAATATTAATTTTCACACAGATTGCACAAACTTATGTAGTTTAACAAAAATGTAATTTTATGAAATCTTACTATGTTTACCTTCAATCTTTGTCTTTGTCTGCATGCTACTAGTTTAAGAGTGGAATAAAAAGTTGAAACCTACTTCACAAAAGAAATTATAACAATTTAATCAGCTGTAAAAAGCATTAAAGGGAAAATAAGCAGAGAAGTTTCCCATACCAATTTCTTCAAGAGATCTGGCAAAATGTCATCCAGTGCTCTAGATCCTATGTTGTTGTGTAGCGTATCAAATGTCTTTGCTGCTGCTTGTCGTACCTCAGGGAGAGGATCACACAGAGCCTTACGTACAGTTGGTATCAAACTGTCTGCAAACACCGCCACCTAAAATAAATAATACAATAAAATCAGTTTTTAGAGCCTCACATATGTTAACATTTATGCAAGTTACTTTAAAAGAATAAAACCACAGTATTTTTAGATAAAAAAACATCACATACTACACATCTTTTCTAAAACATGTTCAGGTCAAAATTTTGATTTTACTGTTATGAACTGCAGTCTATCAGATAAACCCTGCAGCCTTTCAATCTTAAAATTAAGGTGTTAAACTCCTGTAATACTTAGTCAGTCTTCAACCTCGCCCCATTCAGCCCCTCAACTCACATGTTCCTTGCTGGTGCTGCTCATAATCTCACTGAGTCCAATGCAGACTCCCTGCCTCTGGTCACTCTGGTCAGACTCCAGTCCATGTTCCAGTATAGGGATGATCTCTGGCAGGACACGCTCTCCCAGCTTACGTACAATATCACCTAGAGTCCTGGCTGCAACCTGAAACATTAACAATTAAACACCGCATCAGACTGCTGGGTCTGAGAATCTGCTTACAGAATCTGCTTGAGAATCTGCTTCTGGCTCAGAAGTATGAAGTATTCAAATGGAACAATAATGGTATTGTGAAAAACTTGGCATTGAAATTGAGAAAATTACTAATATATTTCTAGTTTTCCTAATATTCCATGTGTTTCAGCAAAATTGTGCATGTCAAAGACATACCATTTCTGGAAATCAATTCAATTTAATTAAATGAAAAAATTATAATTGTTATAGGTGCTGTGCTGCTTGCTAGTGCCTCACACTTATATTTATGCCATAGTTTATAAGTCACTTCACCTGTCTCTTATCATAACTGGTGCTGGCCAGACATCCCAGCAATAAGGTGAACAGAGTGGACAGGATCTCCCTGAGAGTCTTGGGTGTATTGCTCACTATCACCTTCCAGACGTGGAGGGCAGCCTGTCTCACCATCAGTGCAGTGTCAGAGCGGCCCATGTACAGACCTGCCAACACCCGGTTTCGACGCTCCAAACCAAGCACTTTGTTGATGGCCTGAGGGGTAATAAAAAGTACTTCTGTTACATTCTTTAATTGGGATTTTAGAGTAAAGTCCATATAATGTTATGTATTTGTATCAGACCCACTTACCTAGTTTTTAATTTTAGCTTTAATCTAATTAATCAAAACTGAAAAGAAAGTAACTCACTCAGGTTGAAATCTATATTGTTTTCTTCCTAAAAAAGGTGTAAATTTCTTCATTTTACAATAGCAATTGCATATGAATAATAATATTTCATTAAAGTAATGTTAATGTGACCAGATCTATAACGTCTTCATTGAATACCTGCTGAGATACTTCAGTTCCAAAGTTATCATCCTCTCCCGCACTTTCTGTGGACATTTTTCCAGACACACCTGAAACATGAAAATATTTCCAATGTCAGTAGAAGACCTAAATGTCAATGGTGGAGCCTGATTGCAGGCTTATCCCATGGCTGGAATTGACAGGATAAAAGTATAAACAGTAATCAGCATAAAAAATCTTAATCATGCTAACTAAATGTTCATGCAAAATAAGAAATAATCTTTTCAGGTAAATATTATCTGCTTAGACCTATCACAAGCCTTAGAGAACATACATGAATATTTTCAGCCCATCATGAATTTTAACAAACAAGATAAAAACAAAATGTATCTGAATTTGTTTGAACAGATTTCCTTTCTACCTGAAAGTTTGTACAACAAATCTCCCAGCAGTTGCACAGAGCTGTATCTGATCCTCCAGTTGTCATCAAAGAGTCCCTTCTCTAGCTCTGGCAGCAGGAGTTCAATGGCGGTGTCAGCATACATAGCCACTATTCTCTGTCCTGCTTTGAGAGCTGTGTCTCTGAGGAACTCCGATTCATCTGCCAAAGCCTGAAAAGCAAAAATTAATAAATAATAGTAAAGTTCATAGTGAAATAGGCACAATGAAATGTCATACCTCATGATTGGTCTCCTTAGAAATAATTACTTTTTAATCATCAGTATTATATTTGTCATACTTGAAATAACTTCAAACAGATTTGACTGGTGAAATCCTTGAACCCTCATATCATGTTATTGTCATGACTGTAACTCATTAAAGCTAATACACTCTTAACAAATATACTTTTTAGCATCAAATGGATAATTTTACTGACTTTTAATATGGATGGGATGAGAGGTCCAACATAGCCCAGGAAGTCGTCTCCAAACACTCCAGGCAGGTAGATGTACAGCATGATGTACCCATCACGGACATGAGGTGCGATGTCAGGACGCTCGGCAGTCTCAATCACATCTGGCATCAGCTTGTGCAACCTCTCAATGCCAAGACCACCAACAACTTCACTTAAACCTGTGTAACAGAAAGAAAGGCAAACACTTTTACAGGGTATACATGTTTTGACATAAGATAAATTTTCTGAGAAAATCTTTTAATATGAGACAGATCTGCAACTTTTATTGGCAATTATCTTTTTTTATCCTGGGGTCATAGTGGCATGTAAAAAACATAAGATTAAAAACTTTTTTACAACAACTTGGTTCAAACTGACATCTGGCTAAACTCAATCAAATACAACAGTATGGATGGTTGCATATGAAGAAAATAAAAATCATCTTAAACATGCCCCACCTTGAGCTGCTCCAGACCTGTCCACTGAGCTAGCCTCTGATGTCATCATCTGCATCAGCCATGGCAGCAGATCCTCAAAGCTGGACTCTCCCATTCCTTTCACCATGGCACCCAGAGCTTTGGCTGAGACACTCCTCACCTCTGGCACTGGGTCCAGCAGAGACTGCTTCAAACCTGGGATCACATTGGGCAAGTATGGGGCCAGGTCCTAACAACAGAAAGATAACAAGATGAAAAAGATCTCTTTACACTGAAAAGATATGAATTAAAAAATTTTCATTGGTAATTGTACTGCACTAATTTAAAATCAGTTATATGACAGATGAAAAAACGTTCAGTTTTGGGAAATCCTAGCTTACTTTTTGGTCAGTGAGTGAATACATGTTGCCAATGATCTGTGCTGCCATCTTTCTGGTCTCCGTGGATCTGTCCTGGAAGGACCTCTGCACCACTGGCATGATCAGAGCCAGAGATGGAGAGTCAATAAAATGGACAAACTTGGTTTCTAGCAATGTCTGCAAACAGGTTGTGGTCTTTTTGTTGGGGTCTTGAAGAGCATCCATTAGAATTGGAACAATTTCTGGAATAAAGTCAATAAATGTTTTTAAAAGAAAGGACCTAATTACACAGTGATTTTAATACTGTATTCTGTCAAATAAACTTTAATTACAGCTGCTTTAAAAAGTTTGCTATTTTGGTGTTACTTTTTCATATTCACTCAATGCAATTCTACTATATAATAAGTGAAAAATTCCATCAATAATTTCATTTAAAAAATCACCTTGAATTTCTGGATTCCTAATGACAGATCCAATCTCCTTCAAAGCTTGAGCTCCAGCTTTTTGCACTTTGTGGTGAGAATCCGTGAGAACCTCTACAAGCTTTGGTACAATCTGTGGCAGACAAGCAGACAGCTGTTTGGGGGCACAGTGTGACATGGCACCCAGGAGCTCCACTGATCCAGTCTTGGTTCTCCACGAGTCCTCCTCCAGGGCCGCCAGGAGAGAAGGCAAGACTAGTTTGACTCCATGGGCACTGAGCTTGGTCATCACTGCCTTGGCTGTATCATCTGCTGCCTAATTCATAAGAAAATGGAAGGAATAATGGAAGGAATAATAAAGGAATAGTTTTGTGTGTCACCACTTGGCACCAGGCTCAGTAGTTCAACTTTTTGCCCCCTAGTTTCAATTAGTGTTGTGGAGAGGGGGCACCTGCTGCACCTGCTGCATAGGCACCCGCTCTCATTTTCTGGTGCAGTACGTCTTTCAAAGTCAAAAGCATTCAGAAACACTGTTTATTTAAATTATATAATAAAAAATTACCAAGCAAATTTCATGACACAGAAATGCTCACTCTGACTGGTCAGTGACTTTTACACCATATTGAAAGATGAAATTCCCACATTTGACTCTTTCTTACCTCTCTGACAAACTGGTTTCCATCTCCAAAACACAGTAGTAAATGAGGCAGAATGTGGACAACATATGGCTCAAAAAGCCGACCAAGCATGGTACATAACATTTCAAAGGCAAAAAGTGCACCTGTAAATATAATAAACAAAACACTTAATCATATTATCAAGAGTATCATGAAACAACAAATATAAAAATTACAGCTCTAAAAATACAACAAAAAAGTTGATTATGAAAATGCAATGATGAATATGGCACCATCACAAATACAATAGTGTACAATTATTTCCATTACCTTCCCTATGTCTTGGGCTCTTCTTATTTTGTACAGCATCAGTTAGAGTGGTCATAATGTCCAGCTGTTTAAGGGCAAGAATGCCCAAACCTTTGACCAGTCCAGCCAGTCCGTAGGCTGCCCCCTTCCTCTCCCCATAGTTGTCAGACTCCAGGAGAAGTTGCAGCAGTTTATGCACTAGTTCTGGAGCATCCTGTTTGATGGCTGGTACCAGTGGAGGGAGACAGTTAGCCACTGCCTCCTGGACCTGAATAAGGCAAGAATAAAATGTCTCAAAATGTTTCACTTCATGTACCATTTGTTGAATATTCACTGGTCCTCTCTACCTGCCCTCACATTCAGTAAACTTAGAAACTTCATGTCAAAATGAGGATCTTCAAATTAATAGATTTATTAAACTTATCAATATCATATGTTACAGGTACAAAAGTGCAAGTAACCATTAAGTTACTAATTTCTTTTGTACCTGTGATTTATATCAGCACACAGATTTCTCCAGAAGTAACAGCTAATCTACAAATGGAGTTTTCAGTTTGTGCATTATTTTCTCTTTTCTTTCTTTCTTTCCCTTTTTTTTATGATAGCACAACAGTGGTGTTTGTACACACAGAGTATCAAATAAAGCATCTACCATACAATCTAAAAACAGAGTCACAGTAAATGAAACATAAGAATAATTTAAATCAAAACGACTGCTCACCTGTTGTGATGGTGTTGATAAAGCTTCTATAAGTTTGGCCACTATTGGCTTGACCTGAGGGTCATCTTTGTCCAGATGCTTGGCCAGCGACCCCATCAAGATGACCACACTCTGGCGCACTGCATCATAGCCAGCAGAGTCTGGAGCTTTGGCAAGAAACTCCTGGAACACTGGCAGCAGGATATCCACATTGTCCTGTATGAATAAAAACATAGTGAAATTACACAAAACCACTATAAAATCATTAATAATTGACTTCAGTTACTAAGCATTTTATCATGCTAGTTAAATGGTTGTAAGATAATTTTTTCAATTGCTATCAGCATTCCTGTGCAAATATGCACCAACACACTTAGTCACATAAAAAAAGATTTCAACTGAAACAGCTTAAAAAACCAAATAAAGAATCCCTTACCTTCCCATGTCCATTAATGACTGCCACAGCAGACACCAACATATTCTGCCTGACCTCCCCATTTCTGTCTCCCAGGCCGTCAGGGACAAAGAATGAGAACAGTGGCTCAATCTGGTCCTCAGTGAGGAGAGGGGACAGTTTGCTCAGTGCCAAAGCAATGCCACTCCTGGCTGGCCACTCATCAGGAGGACCCTCCGAGATCACACGGCCAAAAGAATCTAGGACAGGTGGGGCAAGCTGAAGAAGAAAGTTAAGGTTCAAATAATTTAGTTATAACCTCAGAAACAGCCAATAAATGCCCAACTAGAAGACCTTATTTCACCAGTAGATGAACATTTATGTATTCTTAGCATTTACAATGTAAATATATCTAATTAACAAAAGCCAACCTACTGCACTGCATTGTCCTTTATTTTTCTTTATTTAATCTTTTGGCAATATGTCATATAAGAAAGGGATCACAAAGCACTAAACTCAAAACCCATCCCATTCTCAGCACTTACATAGAGCTTCTCCCTGTACTTGTCCATCAGTTGCTCCAGAACCAAAGGTACTTGTTCTGGAAATTCCTTCAGAGCAGCTGCCAGAGCATCTGCAGCAGCCTCTCTGATCACAGCCTCTGAATGGATGACATCATTAGGGAGCAGGGAACACAGTTCTTCCTCCAACTGGAGGTCTGCCTCTGTCCATAACCTACAGTGTGAAGTAAAATTGAGTTACTTGTACAATGAAAATATTTATTCCACAATTGATGCTTGCACAATACAGAATTTGCTTTTGCTTTTTGCTGTTAAGAGGTGTACCCTTGCTTTATTACCATACAACAAAAGCAAGTAAACACCTCTTGTAGTTAGTGAAATACAAGTGTAATAATCCTATTGTTTAATACTCCATCTGTAGAGAAGTCAGTTTCAGCCTCAATAATTATACTTGTGTATATCACAAACAAGGGGCTACTCATCTTGTACCTAAAACATACATTTGAATACATACATGCACAAGCCCACACAGAGCATGTACCAATTACATCCTCCTAAATATTTCCATTAAAATTGCCTTAATGGCACAATTCTATACTTGCCTTTCTGCCATCTTCTGATTGCCCTCGTCTACATCAAACTTGGCCACCCATATCCTCCTACAAAGCTCTAAACCAGGCTCTCTCTCAACATCTGGTGTGGGGAGAACCTCTACCATGGCTTGCAAACTCTGTAAAATGTGATCTTCTTTTTCATATTTCATCCATAAATTTAAAACAAAACCTTTCTAAATGTATGACTATTTTTGATGGAATTACATAAAGACCTATCACAAGTGCTTGAAATAATGGTCACCAGACACAATTAATTAACTATTTTTGTAAAGACTTCAGTTATTAATTATGAAAATGGTAGCTTCTTTCTAAAAATGCAACTACAAGATAATAAGGTTATTGAAGATTCAATGCCATCAGTTCACACCATGCTGAGGAGATGACCCATAACCATCATTTTATATATAACAATAATGAAGACATGATTGAAATTTATCTACAAATGATGATAGTATCCTCCTGTGATCTGTTGCCATAGTGTACAGTACCTGTAATGCCACCTCCCTCACTGCCAGTGTGGACACCTGCAGGCCCTGGAGTAAGATGTTCACCTCACTCTGGTCAGCCATAGCACAGCCCTCCTGTCCACTGGCAGCCATGGCCAGGTCCAGAGTGGCTCGACTGGCCAGGTGCTGGACCTTACCAGAGTGGGTGCCTATCACCTTGATCAGGGTCTCAAACATGGCTGTTCTTGGAAGAAGACCTGGACCTTCCTGAAATGAGTTTCTACACATATTGGAATGTTTTCATCTTACTATCATAAAAAGACATTCACAGTGCCCAAAATATTTCATCACACATCAATTAGTTTTCATTAAGTTTTAAAACAAACATTTCTTTATCTTTATTACAAATTCTTTGAACTATTTAAAGCCTTTAGTAAAATGACTGGTTATCTATTGAAACAAGCAAGCAAACAAAAAAAGATCACATACCTCACTATTTTCATCTTCACTGCGCACTTGTGCCTGCTCACAAATGATCCCCAGTGCCTTAAGCTGCACAACATCTCCATAGCTATTCATCAACACCTTCTTGAGCAAATGGAAGCAATACGCAAAGGTGGTGCCAAGGAATGGATGCCCCTTTCCAAACTCTCCTTTCTTCTGATCACCCACAATAATCTGATACAGAATGTCCACAGCACGGGTCACTTGAGACTTGAGATCTTCTATGCACCACCATTTGTTCAGCTCACAGGAAGGGGCCAGTAGACGCAAGGTGGCATGACCAATAAGTAATCCTGAACGTGAATGGATAACTACTTTATGTAACAAGGTAATATAAACAGTAAGTAATTGTAATATGCAATTTCCTATTTCACAAACTTTTCACACTCTTCAACTAAACACATTTTCTAGATCTCTGCAAACATAAACTAGAGGATCAGAGAGGCGATACCGCCTCCAAATATTGTACCACCAGCTGGAGCAAGCGCATTCGTATAGACCCCCACATACACAAAATAAGGGACACAGCCACCAGTTTTGTGCTTGACAAGCTGTAAAAATGCAATCAACAAGAATTTTTAAACTATTGCAAAAAATATATATGGTACTATCAAATTTAAATTCTTCGTAAGGTAGGTCAAGGGTCAATTTCAAGGTCACAGTAAATTGCCAGTATATGACTTGAATCCAGTTTTGGAGATAAAAGGGAAGCAAATTTTGCAAAGTTCAGTTTATGGTGAAAAGTAGGTCAAAGGTCAATTTTAATGTAACATACAGATTGCCAGTATATGACTTCCTATTCAACTTCAAAAGTAACTATGGACCTATCTCTGCCAGTTTTGGAGATAAAAGGGAAG